AGAGGCTCTGAGGTCCAAAGTCCAAGGAACACAGCTGGTGAAGGCTTTCTTTGGTGATGACTTCAGTAACAGCAGGGTATCACATTGTAAAAATGGCAGAGCAAGGACAGAGAGACAGACTCTCCTCTCTCTTCTTTTAAAGCCCTCAGAACCACACCGCTGACCACCATCTTTAAATCCATTCACCATGGCATTCTTCTACAATCTAATAACCTCTTCAAGGCTATACCTTTCAATTACTATGGTAGGATTTCCCACTTTCTTAAGTCACAGTGGGGGTACCACACCGCTGACCACCATCTTTAAATCCATTCACCATGGCATTCTTCTACAATCTAATAACCTCTTCAAGGCTATACCTTTCAATTACTATGGTAGGATTTCCCACTTTCTTAAGTCACAGTGGGGGTAAGCTTCTAATACATAAAACTTTGGGGACACAATTCAAGCTTCAGTGAGTTTTGGGAGGACATACGCCAATCTACTACAATAAGCTTCCAAAGCTTTTGTGTGTTTCAGAAAGTCTTTATCTCGCCATCATTTCTGAAGGACAGCTTTGCTTGGTATAGTACTCTTGGTTGTCAGTTTTTTCTTTCAATATTTTGAATATGTCATTTAAAAAATCCTGGCCTGCCATGTTTCTCCCAAGGAATCCACTGACAGACTCATGGTTGCTTCCTTGTATTTGATGAGTAGCTTTTCTCTTGTTATTTTCAACATTTTATCTTTTTATTTGTCTTTTGATAATTTATTATAATGTGTACTGGTGTAGACCTTTTTAAGTTCAAAATATATTGGGTATTTGGGGCCTAATGAATCTTAGTGTCCATTTCTCTTTCCAAATTTGGGATGTTTTTAGCCATTGTTTCTTTAAATAGACTTTATGTCCCTCTCTCACTCTCTTTTCCTACTGGAAAATATTGTATATTGTTTTGTTTGCTGATGTCTCATAAGTCCCATAGGCTTTCTTCACTCCTTTTCATTTCTTTTTTCTTTTTGCTCCTTTAACTGGATAATTTCAAATGAACTATTTTTGAGCTCACTAATTGCTTGGTCAAGTCTGCTGTTGAAACTCTCTTGAATTTTTTAGTTCAGCCATTGTATTTTTTTTCTCTAGGATTTCTGTTTGTTTTATGGTTTCTATTTCTTCATTGAACATATACTTTTAGTTTTCCTAATTTTGTTTAGTTGTCTATATGTGTCTTCTTATAGTTCACTGCACCTTTTAAAGGGGATTACTCTAAATTCTTTGTCATTCAGTTTATAGATCTCCATTACTTTAGGGTCAATTATTGGAGTTTATTAGTTTCCTTCAATAGTATCATGTTTTCTGTATACTTCATTATCCTTGTATACTTGCATTGTTGTCTGCACATTTGAGGCAGTGGCTATCTCATCTAGACTTTACAGGTTTACTTTGGTAAGGGTAGATCTTTGCCAGTCAGCCCATTCTGGGGTTCTGGACAGGCCAAGTAGTAGGCTCCATAGGCAGGCAGGGCTTGCTGTTATGGTCTGTAGTTGGTGGGACCACTGCAATGCTCTGAGGTTCTGTGAAACTGCTGATTGTGCTCCTGGTTAGGTGGAACCACTTTCTGGGTTCCATTGTTAGGCAGAGCTGTTTTCTAGACTCTGCATTCAGGGAGAGCCACTGTCTGTGCTCCCTGTTAGGAAAGGGTTTTTGGCTTGGCTTTGTCGTCAGGCAGGACCATTTGCTGGGCTCTGCAATTTCCTCTGGTCAGTTGTGGTGGCAGGCTGTACTCCCTGGAGGAGTGGTGCCACTGTTTTGACTCTGTAATTGGATGGGGTCACAGTCTGAGCTCTGAAATTGCCCCAATTGGGTGGGACCCCATGAAGTGCTTCCTGGCTGGGTTTGCTGCTGGCTGAGCTCAGTGTTCAACCACAGACCAGGTTCTTCCATTGCAGGAAGCCTCAGGCTGTGCTTTGCAGCTGGGTAGGATGACTGGCTGCACCCTGTGGTTGGGCCAAGTCACTGGCTGGGATCCCAGCCTGGGCAGGGATACTGACTTTGCTCCATGCTCATTTGGGGTTGCTATGGGCTCCAGATCAGTTGGGTCCATAGGCTGGATCCTGAATTTGGGTGGAGTTTCAGGCTGGTCTCCAAGGCTGGATTGGGTCATTAATCAGGCTCCTTCATCAGCTGGGGCCAGAGCCTATGTTCCACAGTAAGGCAGAGTTGCTAGCTTGACTCTGCCTAGGTCAGGACCAGGGCTAGGCTCTGAGCCTGGGAGGGATCACTGTTTGGGCTCCCTGGTTGGGCCAGGCCAGAGGCTGTACTCTGTGGTTAGATGGAGTTTCTTACTGCCATCCCTGCCTGGCCAGAACCTTAGGCTGGGCTCTACAGCTAGGCTGGACTGTTCACTGGATGGCTGGCAATGACTCAAGCCAGGCTGAACTGTCTACCGTACTTCCCAGCCAGACAGATTCACTGGCTTGGCTCTGCAGGTGGGCAATCCGCTGGCTGGTCTTTCTCATTGAATGCCACTACCAGTAGGAACATGGTGTCACTGCTGATAGAGTTTGGATATGTTGTTCCCGCCAAAACTCATGTGGAAATCTGATCCCCAGTGTGGCAGTGCTGGAAGCTGTTCAAATCACGCGGGTGGATCCCTCATGAATGGATTAATGCTCTCCCTGGGGGAAGGGGTTAGTGAGTGAGGTCTTGCTCTGTCAGTTCTTGTGAGAGCCGGATGTTTAAAAGACCCTGGCACCACCCCTTTCTCTCTCTTGCTTCCTATTGCCATGTGATCTGCTTGTACCCACCAGCTGCCTACTGCTTTCCACCATGAGTAGAAGCAGCCTGAGGCCTGTGCCAGATGCAGCTGTCCCAGAATCATAAGCCAAATATACCTCTGTTCTTTATAAATCACCTAGTCTCAGGTATTTTTGTTATTGCAACACAAAATGGACTAAAACAACTGCCAAACTCCACACACTGGTTTCTGTAAGCCCTTCCCCCTTCTTTGTTTTTATCTGACCCTGGGTAGTCTAGGCCTTCTCATTTTCTCAGTATTCTCTGTGAGGTGAGACAGAAACGGACCTCCTGTGATGCACCTTGGAATGCTGTCGAAGGTAGATATCCACTTCAGGCTCTCTTTTCCTCACTGGAGAAACTATGGTCCTGGGGAAACACTGTCCATGCTGTGATGGCCTGGGGCAGGGGTGATGCTTTCAAAGTGAAACTGTTCCTCTTACCCTCCCAATGTGGCTTGTATTTTTGTGGTCCAAAGGGGATGCTTCAGTCCTATCCCTGGGTTCTGGGATTTTCACAAGAACATTTTTGTCTATGAATAGTTGCTAGTGGACTTGCTGTGTGGGGGTCAAAGCCAGGGACTTCCTATTTTGCCATCTTGCTGACATCACCTCTCTCCTGGGATTTAATTTACCTCTGCACATGTGGGGAAAGATGCATAACCAATGATCCATTAAGGGCTTAACAAAAATCCTCATAAGTCTTTATGGTTTTTAGAAACAGAAAGGTCAATTTAAATAATATTTCTACCAAAGCACATAATTATTCAGTATGCAACTAGTTAAAATCACAGAACACATAAAAACTAAAAGTTGCGTTGTGCATCACACAATTTGTGTATGGAGGCTTTCTTGCAACATCCTTATTAGAACTAACATTTGCAAAGACTATATATGATGCAAAAATGCATCAGGATTTCTGTAGGTCACAGAAACAAAAACATTTTCCTCATAGAGGTATCTTTCAGTCTTTAGAAGGCTGTGATTTCATCGGTAAATTTTATTTGCCAACACCAAGAAAAATAAGCAGGTTTGAGGTAAAAATCTTTAAATGAGAAACAGAAAAGGTAGTGATATACTTTTAATAAATGGGATATGGAGTATGTAAAGTATGTTTCACCTACTAATGTTGTGAGGGGTGCTCTGAAGGTAATAAACAAGATAAGGTAAAAGAGAGTGGGTGGAGGGAAAGGAGTCTGTTTAGGTCTCCTAATCTAACAGTTGAGCTGAGACCTGAAGAATGAGAAGGAGCAAGCAAAGCAGGATGAAAAGGATCCAGATGAGGGGTTTAGAGCCCTTGGGGTAAGATAGAGCTTAGTGTTTGCAGGGTAAGGGGGGAGATCAGTAAGGCAGAAACTTAGACAACCAGGACTAAGGTGACAATGTGAAGCTTGGGAGATATGCAGATGTTGGATGACACGGCACCTGAAGACATGGTAAGGAGATTGCATTTTAATCCAATGGCAATGTGAAAACCTAGTATTGGATGCGTAGTGAACTCCTCTGCTGAAAAGTGATTTAAGAATATCTCAGGATTCATATGACTTATCTAGGACACCAGCTGCATTGGGGCCTTGAGTAGAATCAAGGCTGAGCATCAGAACTGAAATGGAGATCAAATCTGTCTTCAGTACTCCAAACCTCTCATATTTCTCCAGAACCTATGTTTTCAAGTCAGCCTCACCTATCCCTGCACCAGGGAGAATAAGTCCATAAAGGCCCACCTGTGTTAGTCATGAAGTCATCCAGAATCCTCCCTACTTTATCTGTCTGCTCATATCCCACCCAAATTATGCTTCTGGATATGTTCAATGTGGACACCCAGCTTCGAAAATAGGACCTTGTAAGGACTGTTCTCGACCATCTGGACCTTCTTCTAGCCTCTTTTTCTGAGAGACTCTAGTGCTGGAAATCTACAAATTACGCCTTAACAGGACAAACATAATTTAGTAAAATGCAGATTCTCTGAATAATATGGCAGACATACTCTTACACCCACACCACCACTAGAAAATGGGCTCTTTTCCATTTTTCATATTGGAGAAGAAATTCTGTTGCCCTAAGTACATTAGCCTCATGATCCAATATTTCCCTACTTATTGAGAACTTACCTGTTAAAGTCCAAAGGTACTTCACCCTTTCCAGATCTTGATAAGAAGAATAATCCAGAGTCACCCAAAACAGCATCTCTTTTCCACTCTGACCCTTCTTCTTCTTGCTTATATCCCCAGGAAACTGTTGGATCCAGAGCCATCATTTCTGCAGGACTGCTGGAACAGAGAGGACGACCTATATATGGTGACAGAGGTCGCTGAATTGATCAATAGTACTGTGCTGTGTGGTAGCAGTAGTAAGAATGTTTTAGGAAAATTTTCCCTGTGGATTACTCCTGGCAAGGTACAAAGTTGTTCTGAAGTGGGACTAGAATACAAAAAACACAGCCTGCCCTGGCAGTCAAGCTTCCCTTGTGAGAAAGCTCTGGACCCTAATCCCTGGGGCCAGGAGCAGTGGGGTCATTACTTCCTTCTTCTTACATGCCACAGTATTGTGACTCATGACATGAGAGTATATACTAATATCTATAGTATTTTAATATGTGGGATTATTCAGTATTGAAAAAATCAGAAATATATTTAATTATTTGGTATTGTATTTTGCTTTGGGAAAATGACAGATTCTTCGGGGTCTAAATGTGTGGCTGCTGCACTATATACAGTCCAGTTTTATGGCTGGAAGAAATGAGGACCCACTGTCACCAACTTCAGCTGTTAAAGTACTTTATATTATATGATAACCTGATAAGAAATGATTTAAGGAGTGAGATTTAAATATATTTAAGCATAGGAAATTTACATAAGTCACTCACAATAACCAAGAATAATATTTTTAAGTGATATAAACAAATTCACTTATTGAATATTCATTGAGATAAATATGGGCCAGGGACATATAAGGTTTGTGTGTGTCTTAATGTGCTTTTATACACACTATATTTTCTGTGTAATTTGTCCTTATTTCAGAGTGTTAGAAACTAAAGGAAAAAAAACTGAGATATGCACTAACTTTCCCAAGGCCAGTGAATTAGTTCTGAAGAAGGCCCAGGCTCTACTGTGGCCATTTGATTCCAAGTCTGGCAAACAAAGAAACTTGAGCCAATTAAAACATTAATTTGGAGGCCTACACTGAGACGTTATAACCAAACTGTTGAAAGTCAAAGACAAAGCCAGAGTCTTAAAAGCAGCAAGAGAAAGGTGATTCATCACAGTCAAGGTAGCTCCTATTAGGTTGTCAGCAGATTTCTCAGCAGAAACCTTGCAGGCTAGAAGAGGGTGGGATCACACATTCAAAGTGCTGAAAAAAAAAACCCTGCCAACTACAAGTACTCTACCTGGCAAAGCTGTCCTTCAAAAACAAAGGAAAATTAAGACATTCTATGATGAACAAAAACAGACAGTTTGTCACAACTAAACCTGCTCTACAACAGATGCTGAAAGAATTGTTCCTTCAAGTTGAAATGAAAGAATGATAAATCAACACACAAAAATCAATTGTGTTTCTATACACTAATAATAACCAATCAGAAAAGGAAATTAAGAAAATAAGCCCATTTACTAAAGCTTTAAAAAGGATAACGTACTTAGGAATAAACTTAACCAAGTAGGTGAAAACGTGTACCTTGAGAACTACAAAACATTGCTAGAAGAAATCAAAGACACGAATAAATGGCCAGACACTTTGTGCTTTTGGATTTTAAGACTTAAAATTATTAAAATGTCCATGCTACTCAAAGTGATCTACAGATTAAATGCAACCTCCTAGGGGGCCGGCCCGTGGCTCACTCGGGAGAGTGCGGTGCTGATAAATGCAACCTCCTCCAGAACTTCAATGGCAATTTTTTTTTTTCAGAAATAGAAAACAATCATCCTAAAATTCATGAGGAATCTCAAGGGACTCTACATAACCAAAACAATTTTGTAGAAGAACGAAGTTGGAGGCCTTGTATTTCCTGATTTCAACACATACTACAAAGAAACAGTAATCAAGATGGTGTGGTATTGTCATAAAGACAGACATATAGAACAATGGAAAGGGATAGAATGCCCAGAAATAAACCCTTGTATGTATGATCAAAGGATGTTTGACAAGGATACCAAGAGTACAAAATGGAAAAAGGACAGTTTCTTAAATGAATGTTAAGAAAACTGGATATCTACATGCAAAAGAATAAAGTTGGTCTGTTATCTTATACCATATTCAAATATTAATTCAAAATGGATTGAAGACCTAAATGCATGATGTAAAGCGATCAAACTTCTGGACAAAACATAGAGGAAGAGCTTCATGACATTGCACTTGACAACAATTTCTTGAATATGACATCATAAGCACAGACAAACAAAGGCAAAAATCGACAAATGGGAGGACATCAAACTTAAAAACTTCTGCACGTGAAGGAAACAACCAACATAGTGAAAAGGCAACCTATGGAATGTGTGAAAATATTTGCAAATCATATTTGCTAAGGGGTTAAGTATCCAGAATATATAAGGAAATTCTACAAGTCAAAACAACAAAAAATCTCACAAATAACCAAATAAAAAATAGGCAAAGGCCTTGAATAACACTTCTCCAAAGAAGATATACATATGTCCAATAAGCATATAAAAAAGTGCTCAACATCACTATAAAAGAAACACAAATCAAAACCACAATGTGATATTACCTCACATCCATTAGGATGGCTACTATCAAAAGAACAAAAACTAAGTGTTGGTTAGGATGTGGAGAAATTGTATGCCTGTATACTGTTGGTGGGAATGTAAAATAGTACAGCCATTAAAAAAACATGGAAGTTCTTTAAAAAATAAAAATAGAATTACAATATGATTCAGCAATCTCACTTCTGGGTATATATACAGAAGAATTCAAAGCAGGATCTTGAGGAGATTTTTGCACATCTATGTTTATTCATAATAGTCAAGAAATAGAAGTCAAATATCCATTGACAGATGAATTGGATAAGTAAAATGTGTGTGTGTGTGTGTATACATATGAAATGGAATGTTACATGTCCTCTAAAAAGGAAAGAAGGAAGTCCTGTCATATGCTATGACATGATGAGCCTAGAAGTCATTAAAGTGAAATACATCAGTCACAACAGGACAAATATTGTATAATTCCACTAATATGAAATATGTCAATTGTTTCAAATTCATAAGAACAGAAGTAGTAAGGTGGTTTCCAAGGCCTCATGGGAGGGTGAAGGGAAAATTAGTTTTAAGTAGGTTAGAATTTCTGTTTTTAAAGTTTTAGAGTCTGTTGCAGAGCAGTGTGAATATACTTAACACTACAGAAGTGCACACTTAAAAATGGTTTAGATGATAAATTTAATAAAATGTGGATTTTATTGCATCAAAATTTGCCACCATTAATCTTTGAAAAATAAATTAAAATCTCCTGAGAAAGTTAAGTAGTTTTGATGACATCTAGTTGTCACTTTATAACTCAAGAATTGTTAAGAGTACAGTTTGCATTTCAGTGTCATCTTCATTTCATTTTGCTATTATTTCTCTTGACCTCTTTGCAAGCAGGGAAAGCATTCATTTTTACTCCTAGTGTTTAGATTTTAAAATCATGTTTTTTTTAAGTGAATGAACAAACGCTAATTTTGCTCTTCATTGTTTTATTTTATTTTTTTCCTTTTTGTCTTTTTTCGTGACCGGCAACGGGATCGCAACCCTCGGTGTTGCCCCCGCACCTCGCTCAGCCAGTGAGCGGCCGGTCTGTATGTGGGATCTGAACCCTCGGCGGGAGCGCCGCCGCGCTTCCCAAGCGCCACAGGGCCGGCCCAAATTTAATGTTTTTTTACCACAATGAGAAAAGTAAAAATATAACAAAACCTCCAAAATGTCCATGTAAAATCCAAATGGCAATGTGTTTATGTTAATGAATGCTGAAAGGCATTTGACTAATTTAACACCCATTCTTGAATTTATCTGTAACTTTAAAATCCTGTAATATAAATCTTTCTAAATAAGGATGGGTTTATGTATTCAGGAGCATTTAAAAATTGATTATGGAAACAAGGTACACTCTCTCAACCAACATCCAGCATCATTTGCTAATATAAAACCCTGGCAACATTTCCATTAGAATAAAGGAAAACAATCATGAATTTTAACATCATTATTAGTTAACATATTTTCTAGAAACCCTGACCAAGGATATGAGATGTTCCAATAAAAACCAATTATAAGACATAATGAAAAAAAATCTTCACAAACCAATCCCAGATTGTGTATCTATACTTGTATATAACTTCTTCTGGAAATAAGTGGATCTATGTGGAAAAAATTGATGAAAAATGTAGGAAATGGGTTCACTCAATTGGTTATAGTGCAGTGTTATAACACCAAGGTCAAGGGTTTGGGTCCTGGTACTGGTCAGCTGCCAAAAAAAAAAAAAAAAAAAAAAAAAAAACCCAAAAAGAAAAACCTGAATAAAGAGAGAAGCAAACCATATTCCTCAAAGGGAATCTGGATGTTGTAAAGATGCCAGTAATATATAGAAAAAAATATAGGTTTAAACAATTTCTATCAATATACCAATTTAATTTTCCTGTTCTAGTTTTTTTGGTGGGATCTTGATTAAATAAACTAAGGTTCATCTGGAATAAAAAGCAGGTAAAAATACCTAAACATTTTTTTTTTCATGAGTGTGTGTTGGGGGGATCATCTACCAGATAATAAAGCATAATATAAAGCTATTTTAAATATCGTAGGACTGGTACAAGGACAAAACCAGAAATTAATTGGAGACAATAGATAGCTTAATTAGCAGAGCCCAATTTATATTCAAAATGGTGTATAAAGGAAGCAATCCAAAAAAGTGGAAAAGAGAAGGATTATTCACCAAATTGAAAAACCGCATGGAGATTTTAGAGGAAAAATAAAGTTCAATCCTCATATTGGCCTAATTTACAAATGAAATTTCAGAAGAAGTAAATTTAAATTTTATGCTTTTTTAAAAAAACATTTTGCAGCCCAGTACAGGGATTGAACCCTGGGTCTTGGTTTTATCAGCACCATGCTCTAAATCTAGCTGAGTAACTGGCCAGCCTGCTTTTGTAAAATGAAACACACATATATAAAAATTTAAAAGTTGTGAAACAAGCAATGAAAGAAATAGAAAAAGATCAGTTGAGTTACTCCATGAAATAACAATGTGAGCACTTCAAAAATTCATAAAAAATTTTTAAAAGAAAAAAGTGAAGCTATATGCTATAAAACAGCAGTCAATATTACTGCTAGAAATAAATGTAAATGTAACTTTAAAAACCTACAAAACTTAACTAAGTAAATGAGTTAAAGAGAAAAATTAGTAATCACCAAAGAAATACCTAATCATGTGGCCATTTAAAAATGTTCAAGCTCAGTAGCGATCATAGGAAATAATATTAAGATCCCATTTTTATGTAATTTTGGAAATTTTAAAATAGTTTATTTATTTATTTATTTTTAAATTTTGGTGGCTGGCTGGTACAGGGATTCAAACCTGGGACCTTGGTATTATAAGGCTGCACTCTAACCAATCAAGCTAACTGGCTAGCCCTTTTATAAAAAAAATACAAATACTTTTCAGTGCTGCTAACAATACAGTGAAACCAGCACTTATATAATATTGGTAGGAGTGTTAACCATTACAATATTTTTGGAAAGCAAGTGACAGTATGTTTCAAATCATAAGAAATATTCATATCCTTAGAGTCAGTAATTCCACACATGTATTAGGAAATAATCCAAAACGTGGACAGATATTTAGGCATAGATATTCATTATGGCATTATTTATGACACTATGGAATTTCGGGGGAATTTAAATGACCACCAATAGAAAAATTGTTAGTGTATGGCATAATGTACCATTATTTGGCCACACACAAAAATTTTTACAATATAAAAGAGAAGACAGAAACTTATTATAAGTTATAATATTTTACATTTAAAACAGTCTATAAAATGAAAATAAATTTTTCTTTTTTTCTTTTTTCTTTTTTCCTTTTTTTTGTCTTTTTTCGTGTCCAGCAACGGATCGCAACCCTCAGTGTCACGCCCGTACCGGACCGGGACCGGCAATGGGATCGCAACCCTCGGTGTTGCTCCCACACCTTGCTCAGCCAGTGAGCGGGAACCGGTCAGTATGTGGGATCCGAACCCTCAGCGGGAGCGCAGCCGCGCTCCCAAGCGGCGCACTGTAGCAGTGCGCCACCGGGCCGGCCCAAAATGAAAATAAATTTTAAAGAATTTTATAACTAAAATCCACCTCACTTTTACAGAAAGATGGGGAGACTTACATCTACCCTCAAAGAACTTATTGCCAAGTACCTGTTGAACAAGGTACAAATACATAAAGACAACAAAAGAGTAGACATACCAACAAGAGTAGAAATTACAGGTGACAAGAGATGTTAAAATTCAGAAAACTCTTCTAAAAAGTAGACAAATGGTAATAGACCCTGGAAAGCAGCAATTGTGGGCCCCCACTTGCAGCAGGGAAGTCTAGCAACAAGAGCCCTTAAAAAGTTCAGGAACTGGAGGCCCCAGCTACTTCTGACAATGGGGTGCAGGCAGGGCTTAAAGTAAGAATATTGGTTGGAAATCTTTGTAAGCCAGATCCCTTTCCCACCTCTGCACAGTCAGGCAACTACCCTCGCCCACCCTGGCAGAAAACTCTTGAGAACTTAGACAATGTGGCTTCTAGATTTAGGGAGACTAGTTACAGTGAGAGGTGGGGGTAAAGAACCACATTGGAAAAGGAGAAATAAAGGAAAGTCCTCATTCTGAGTGGGAAAACTGAGCCCCTTTCCTCATTCAGCTCTAGGCATTGTGTCTTAGCTCTCTTCACTTCCCAACACATGCCCCACTCAGGAGACTGAAGTATTATTTCTTAGGAAAATTAACCAGTCCCAGAGAAGTACCTAAAAAATCCCAACAACTGGAGCCCCTAAAGAAATAGCTTAATCCCTGCCTGATTGCTCAAAGGTGAACCCCACACTCAGCAAACCCTGCCTATGTACTCTTGTCAGCTTACAAGTCTCAGTCGTCAATAAGGACACACAGGAAAAACAAAACAAAACAAAACAAAACACCTCAGGCATTTGGGCTAAGCCAAAAACACAAAATGAAAACACACTGAAAAGAGGAAATCAGAGGAAACAAAGAAAACACTGGGAAGGAGGAAATATTCACCCCTCAAAGAGATAATATTTTGTTTCTATGAAAGAATAATGCTCTATAAAAAAGAGCATTCCTATCTCTTAGAAATTAAAAACATGGTAGCAGAAATTTAATTTTTTTACAAAATAATAAAAGTCAGAAAACAAAATCAAATAAATTTCCAAAAATGTAAGCAAAAGACAGAAGAACATTAATTAAAAAATGCAGGAGATCCAACTTTTAAATAATAGAAGTTTCAGAAGGGAGAACTGTTACACTTCCCCCTGTGTAACAGAGACATAAAAAAGAATCACTCGATTACTCAAAGCACTGTGAATGCATTGAGAAGCCCGAAAGGACTGCACTTCACTTACTTTCCCCATTAGGAGGAGAAAGCTGAATGTGACAGCCCCGATTCAAAGTTAGCTTCTCCCTTTTATTGTAAAGACAAGGAAGTTTCACAAGAAAATTCAGTTGATTTAATCATTACAAAGAACACAAGGACATGGGCAGAGTTATGGCTAAGTATAGTTTTAACAATGGAAACTAGCAACATCAGTGAAGTAAACAAAGTGACATTCCATAATGCAATTTGTAAAAGGTAAAGTCCATCCACCGACAAAAGCTTGTTCTTTGCAAACACTTTCTTTTCCTACAGCAATTTACTCAGCATTTTTACACAACAATCAAGCAACTTTCTCAACATATCAATCAGTAGGTTAATCAGTACTAAGGACATCTGCCCTTTGAGGTAGCAATTTTGCTGTGTTACAATTCTTTATCTACAACAGAGATTTTAGCCTGGGGAAAGTTTCCTGTCTTTTGCAAGCTTAACATTTCTATGTGTAATTTTAAAAAGGTCCTGTGAAATACATTTATTTTATTAATGTTAGTACTTTCCACAGAGAACAGAGAAATAATGAAATTGGGAAAATCATTCAGGAAACAATACAAGAGAGGTTCTGAGAACTGAAGAATGTTTTTCCAGAATGAAAGGGCCAACTGAAGACATAGTTTAATGGGTCAACATTGATCTGTACCACAGAACATATGTGTGAAATTTCAGGACACTTACCTCAAAAAGAAAATCATAAGTGTTTCTAAAACATATTCCAAGGCATTTCAGCCTAGAATTCTATGTCCACTCAAATTATCAATCAAGTGTGAGAGTTAAAACAAAGATGTCTTTAAATGTACAAGGTCTCAAAAAATGTATCTTCCGTCTCCTCTGGAGAGAGTGAATAAAGAGACAGGGAAATCACAGGGGTATCACATTAAGTGATAAAGAAAAGATTGCAGTTTTCTCCAAGAGTAAGAAGTGAACATTAACTTAAATGATATTGGGATGTGAATATTTTAGGAGGGTGGGAGAGGGGAAGTGAAGGGCAAGGGGTGGGAAAGAAAATGTTTCCTCATCATCAAAGAAGTACTCATCATCAGAAAGAGAAAGTAAATAGATATATCTGTAAACAAATCAAAACTTTATAATATTAACATGAGATTGAGAAAAGGGAAGATAAACACTGGATGAAACAGGATGCTATGGGTCGAATGTATCATCTGAAAATTAACACGCACACACACCCGCACACACACGCACACACCCGCACACGCACACACATGCGCACACACACGCACCCGCACACCCCACACACACCTGCACACACACGCACCCACACATACGCACACACACACACACACACGCACCCGCACCCACACATATGCACACGCACACGCACATGCACACACACACGCAAACACACACAGATGGTAGGTATTAAGATCAGCCTTGGCCCAGTGCTAAGGACATCTCCAAGTTGGTTTCCTATAGTATCCTGGCTGCAATATCAGGTTAAGGGTGCATCCTGGTGTCAACTGCCTCCTATCAGTGGCAATAGACAGAGGCTGAGCTCTCCAATCTTGCAGTTAGTGGACCCTGGCTTCTGGAGAAAGATCAATCGTGACCCGGCAGCTCTCTTCTGAGGGGTAGGGGAGAGAATGGGATTAAGACTTTAGGGAGGGGTCAGGGACTCCTACTGAGAACACCAGGAGATGGTAGTGCTATTAAAGGTCATGGTGAAAGATGAGGTGATTTTAATTCAGGCAGGGGAAGAGAGGAGCCCTATCTTCACAAATATCCAAAACAAAAACCAGAAATGGTCTGATGAAAGGACACCCCATGGAACAAGGTTTGAAGTATTCAGAGAGACTCCAGTTTGTGTTCTTTGGTGACTGAAGCCAGGTGAAGTCACTGGAGGCTAGCCTGCGGTGGCCGAGGTGTGAAGGCCAGGAGAGGGAGTGAGGACACAGAGTGTAGACGCTGTTGGAGGAAGGAGAAGGGGGCAGGAGGAGGAGATAATGGTAGGGGGACGCAGGGGTGTGGGCTTCCCAAGACAGCAGAGACTTGAGCTTAATGTCAGGCGAGGAGGGACCCGGTGGTCTGCAGAAGGTGAAGACTGATCGGCGTCCGTCACTTGCTGTGCATCGCCTCGGCAGGGAAGGTCTCATTCCCATTTTACAGATTCACAGGCAGAGGGATTCTGTTTTTCTCTGAAGTTACACAGCAAGTGCTATGGCCAATTATTAAACTCTTCTGCATATCATTTGCCTTTTTGATTGTTAAGAGGATAAGGTTGTTTTCCTTCCCTCTTAGGCCTCCATTATGTAAACAGAGAAGCCCCACTCCCCCACCCCCAGTGGTCGGGACGTGACTGGCAGGCACTGTAGTGAGATTCGCCTTCATTAAGTTCACACATTCCAACACCTAGAAAACACTTTTGTCTTCTTCAAGGGCTCTTTCCGCCTGTAGAACACTTAAACGTTGGTGTAAGGCAAGTTTCAGACCTCGCACATTTCTCCACATGAAATGAAAAACCACCCAAGAAGACTGCAAGATTGGGAGTTGATAAGTGAGTGTGGGGTGGTAAGAAAAGGACAACAGAGGACAATCCTATGTGATGAGGCTGGGGGGGGAGATCTCCTTTACATTATAAAGATAATGCTCAAATGTTAGAGGCACAATGATTACCTGAGGTGCTTATTTAAAATGCAGGTTGCGGGGAACCCTTCAAAGAGTCTGATTCAGCAGGTACAGAATGAGGCCAAGGATCATTTTTAAAAAATTGTACATATTTGTGGAGTATACTATGTTATTTCTTTTCTTTAAAAAAATTTTAAAATTTAAATTTAAAAATATTTAATGATAAGTACATTCTAAGATGTTGCTGGGGGGAGGAGGGAAAGGCGGTATCCACCTCAGGCCCCCAGGGGCTTCTGGCCCAGGGTGTGGTTTCAGTACACCCGTCTATTGTACACTGACTCCCTTAGGGCAGATAACATAGCCATCCTCTAAACATTTAGCTTTTCTTTGCGGTGATTACATTCAAGATCAGTGGTCAATTTTAACAAGCATTTCAGGTGGTTTTGATATAGGGGTGCCAGGGTCCAGGTGCAGGGCACGGGTAGAACTTCCAGCAGGAATGGCCTTGGCTCTCCTAATCAGACTTCTTTTCCATCCAGACGTTCTCATCTCAGATGACGATAAGCAGAAAACCTTCCCAAAAGGTGAGTTCCAGAGCCGGGCAGGCCTCAGCCTCGACCTGGGGCCCCGCTGAGCCCTGATCCCCCTTTGGATGCTCACAAGAGCCCCTCGGGGGCTGAGCCCCACAGAGCCACAGAACCGTCCCCAGCCAGGCTCCTCCATCACGTGCTGCTCTCCAGTCTTGACCAGCCACAGTCCATGGGGCCACAGGGCAACCAGCCTTCCTCCTCTGAACACTGGGATGGTATGAGTTTGTTGGGAGGGATCTGCCTGGGGCTCCGTATCCCTGGAGAAATTTCTCAACTGAAGTAGTTGGAAAAGGTGAGAAATAAGGAAGAGAAAGGAGGAATTAGAAAGGTGAGGGGTAGAGGGAAAGATGTGGAAGGGGCCAAAGTGGGCACGGGGGAGACTGACTCTTGGTGAGTGAGTATTGTTTTTCTTTTCAGCGAATTTGCGGACTTTTCAGCAAATATGCAAATTTGAGGCCAAGATATGTGAATGTATGTTTTCCAGCCAAAAATGTGGAATCTGAACCCTCCCCCAGGCCACTCTGCACAGTGAAAATCTACCTGGTTGACTTTGCTGCCATTACCCAAGGCTCTGGCCTCCTGAGCAAAGGGCAGGGGCAGATGGAGAGGAGGGGGTCCTGGGAAGAATGGGGGCAGAAGGTTGGAGAAATTCAGTGTGTTCAAGGCTAACTCTTGGGTGGGTGGGGGGTTTCTTTTTTCTTCCTAGGCTACAATATGGATCCCATCCCTCCAATAGGTGAGTGTGTGTCTGCTGGAGCCGGGGGTGGGATCCCATCCTGCATGTGTTAGGTAAGCAGGGCTGGTTGCCTTTGCCACCATGCCCTAGGGCCTGGCCCTGGTCCTGTGGACTGGGAAGGGTCCAGGAAGGCTGAGGAGGGGAGGGAATGGGCCGGGATGGGTGCAGGGTGAGGTTAAGCAAGAGGCAGGAGGCGGCAGGAGGGCAGAACACTCCGAAGTGTCTCAGAAGCAAATTGGGGTGATGGGGAAGGAACATGGTCACTGGAGATTCTCTTTCTAGGAAGAACAGAGGAAAGCTTTCATCGAGGTGAGTGTTTCTGAGGGGGAACCTGGGCTTCTGGGTGGGAAACTGCAAAGCTCAGTGCCCAAATCAGACGTTTCCATGCAAGTCGGAAGACAGAGGTGCACTTCCACATTTATGCTTTGCTTAGCCCCGCTTACTCATTGGATGATTCTTGATTCATTCATTCAGGCATGCATGCGACAAACACTTACTGAGGACTTATTGGGCAACAGGCATCGTTCTGAGCACTGTATGATATGGTGGTGAACCAAAGAGACAGAAATGCCCACCTCTTTGGAGCTTCCAATCTAATGATCTCTGGTTCTGAGCAGATCACCTGGAGGCCACCTGAAGCCTCCCGGGAGAAGCAGAGAGCCCCCGACCTCCACCTGCTAGTTAATTCTTCAAAGACATTGAAAATACAGACACAATTGTATGTTAATAAGCATAGCTCCTGTGTGCCAAGCACCTTACATACATAAACTCATTTAATCCTCACAACAGCCCAATTTAACAGAACAGAAACTGATACCAGAGCACCTAAGACTCTCATCTCTAGAGCCCAGTTCTAGATTTAACATTATTTCTCACATGTCCTTGAAATGACCACTTGGTCATTTCTTCCCCCTTGCAAAGACATCTTTTCAGAATCTCCATCTCTGCTCCCAGCATACTGTCCCTTCCTTTAAGAATACTTGGATTGCTCATCTTTCTAGCCTCTTATGAGAGCTCTATCCCTGGAGCTCAAGCATGCTATTAGCAGAGACAATTTTTGTTGGTAACTGAAAAGGATAGAGAAGTTTGGCTCATAAGGACGAGAAAGGTCTCTCATCCTAGTGATGTCCCAAACAAAGAAGTGTACTCATTTTTTTGGCTGGTGTTGATGCTTGAGTGCAGATTTCAAGCGTCTGCAACAGGAGGTTTCCCGGAAAGTGGAGGCACTGGCCCAGCTCTCAAAGGACTTTCAGAATGTCGTGTTCCATAGTATCCTGGCCATGCTTGGGGATAGAGGGGCTCTGCAGGACCTGATGAACATGGTAAGGGGGTCCCATGGCTACCTAGGGCGGATCAGAGCTGTAAAGGGGGAATGTCTAGGAAATATGGCTACCAAGATTCAAGGGGCAGGAGGCAATAGTGAGATGCCAGGGGAATGAGAACTGGGGACTCTGGCCTCAGGCACAATGACTAGGGTCAGGGAGAGCAGGCCCCACAGGGTGAGGCTGCTTGGAATCTGCTGGGAAGATAGAGAGCCCACACCCCACAAAAGACAAAGGCAAACTGTATGACAATAATGATATTATTATTATTATTAACAATAATACTTGTCTCCTATAGCTGGAATTGAACTCCCGGGGTCATTTGGATGGCCCTGGTGGTGTCATCCTAAATGAACTGTTTCTACATTCTGATGCAAAGTACGTCATTCTTTACCTCCTGGAAGCCCTGATGGGTAAGAGTGATTGAGGGGAAGAGTGGGAGAATCAAAAAGTTGGTCCCCAGAGCCCCTGAAAGGCCCGTGTCAGATGCCACCTCTCCAAAGCCCTTCAAATATCATATTCTCATCCTCACGTCACACCTCTCTCCTGGGTCAGGAGAGCTCAGTGTGGTATTTCACCAAGTGATGCAGAAGCCCAGAAAGTGACCAGCCCTTGGTCATCAGACATGTATATCATTGGAGATGGATGCTTCCAGCCCCAGCCTCAGAATCCCATCCTCTGCGCCATGTTATTTAGCAACCTGGAGACCATCCCAAGAGCAGAGGAAGGACTACTCAGAGCAGGGACCTTTATCTTCAAGCCTAGTGGGTTTATTCCTCTGCCTCAGAGTTCCCCTCTCAGGGGTCTCCTTGTTCATGGTGGGAGACGAAACTCTGGACCCTTTATCACGTTCTTTCTCCCACATGTCCCCTCCCGCAGTGCTGAGTGACACCCAACAAAAACTGCTGGCCCTTTCCAAAATTCCTTGAACTTTTTAAGACAAGTGAACAGATATGATGTGGGGGCGAAGGGGAGAGAGGGGGGGGGGGGAGAGGAACAGGTAAAGGATCATGAAAATCAACAACAATGTATATTGAGAACTAAAAATTAAAAACATTTTTAAACACAAAATAATTTTTTAAAAAAAGAAATCCCCAGGAGCCAGCGGTCCAGGGAAGAGGGCAAGGGAAATCCAGGGAAGAGGGTAAGGGAAGCAGGGTTAAGAAGAACGATTCTGAGAAAAGACAGGTTTCCACTGGGAGGGGAGACAGGATCCCAGTGTGGCCACTGGGAAGTCCCTGGCTGTGTTCTCCCTCTGCAGAGTGCCCACTGGGTGGGAGTCTGCCTGCTGGTGGCAGGGGAGTATCAGTTTCCATGGCAACCCTGCAGTGGGCCCCAACGGGTCTACAATAGCCATTTAGGAACACAGGTCTTTGGAAGCTCAGGGGATGTGAGTAACAGCCCTGCTCTAGCTACACAGTTACCAGTGGCAAAT